AAATAGGATGAGGTGTCAAATTTTAATCAGCAAGCTTTTGAGAATAGTTGTCTTTACCAGGCTATACAATAGTGACTATTAAGGCAGAAGTGCCTATATTCTTGAGCTGACGGCGTGTTTTTTACCTAGCATGTGATGAGATTTCTTGAATTTTTAAGTTGTCATGTTGTCATTTGAATACGTGGTTTTCATGTGAGTTTGACCCTGGTCCACAACATTGCATCCCAATTCAGATTGCATCGGCAATAATAACATTTAGAGGTTTTAGTGATGAACAACAATTGGTCATTTCAGAAATTATGACAGAGTGAGTTTACACGCTCTCAATTTTAACTTGCAGAAATATTTCCAAAGCGGGACCTTCAAGCAGTATGGCGACGGAGAGGCGCAAAGCTATTTAACTCTTGAGTGGACTAATCAGCATGGCTGTGGTGGTGATGAAGACACTGATCCTCACAAGCAGAATTGTAACATCGTTCTGCAGTACATGTGCCAGGATGAGGATGTTTCTGGTTAGCATCAATTAGTGTAAAACTTTGTAATACTTACAACTATAACTATCATGTAGCACCACACTAAAACTAGTATTACAACTATACATATATATATAAGGACTGCTAGGTGTGCAAAAGATTAATGATGTGCACTGTAGAAGAGTTGGTTCTGACATTATTTTCTAGGCAGGAGTAGGAGTAAAACACTGAATAATTTAGTTTTATGTTTAACATAACATAAAATAACATATATGGTTCATATATCTAAATATCTAGTGTGATATAACGTTACCCAAGCATTCTATTTGGATATAAAAAGTTGCGAGGTTGAGCCATGAATATAAAATGTATTTGATAGGTGCCACGGAGAAGCTACGAGATGGCGTCAACACCAATACACAGAAATTCACTGCACTGAAGAAAAAAGACGAGAATCTGACACAGAAAAAAGCACGACAAGCTGCTGATGTTGACGTCAACATGGCATACCACGAAACCTGGGAGTGGTACGACAAATGCCGCAACAGGGAGCGATGCAAAGGTGGGCCGACCATGAACTTGAGAGCTTGGCATATATTTACTCTTATCGACTGTCCATCTGCTTATCATGTTCTTTTGTCCCACGTGCAATAGTTTAACAAAATAGATCTTTTAATTATATGGGAATTTTTTATTGACTGTCTCTACAGGTCTATTTACTGCCGATCAGCAGCTCACAACCAACAATGGGCTAGGTTACAGTGGCGCCATCTATACCAGACAAAATAAAAATGGCAACAGGCGTGGATACGAGTGTCCTGAGGAGAGAGATTACTACCCTTATTGGCATCCGACCCCGTGGAAAGATATTGCAATACTACCAATCAATATGTCGTTATGCAGGTATTTCATTTTTCCTATAATGTTATAGTATCACCTTCTATTATGTCTAATGTGATATATTTTAGTACATATGGTAGCTATATCAGCACATGTTGTACAACAAGTAAATTATACCAAAATACGTAATAAAAACCGGAAATCTAGGTTTTTACATCTTAATGGTTAAACTCATCAATCCTCCTTCAGTGAGTGAATCTGTCTCATTTCAACATTACGCAGGCCTATCCTGTAGTCATCAAAGCATTTCTAGTGGCTTTCCTGTTCTAATAGTAATTAGTGGGTGTTCTAATATTGAGAAACTTGTTGTAGCTACCATGAGAAGGAGAGCTTTAATGTCGTTCCACGATATGAATGCCTGGAGCTGTACGTTGGAACAAAAACTATTAGGCACTGGTCTCGCTGGAACAATGAAAATGATTGCAAAACGAATGGAGGGCAGTGGACTCCATTCTATAACTATTTGGAGAAGGCACCAGGTCTCAAAATTAGAATTCAGAGTATATCTAATAATCTAACTTATTTTGAAGTAATATTAATGTATCTATGTACTAACACAGATTCGATTAGTAAATGAATTAATACTAACTACTAATGTCACAAGTGCAGCTTCTAAAAGTTATGCACAACATTAAAACCAAATTCACCTAATTTTATTGAATGCCCTAGCCTGAACTCTACAATGGTTAGTAACAGGAGGACCAGCACAGCATCTGTTTTGCTTGTTGCAGCATATAAAAACGAGGCCACTTGTAAACAGCAAACTAAGAATGGCTACACCTACATATGGGGTAGACCTCTCGGCGAATATACGGAACAATGTCTAGTGGCGCTGGATGCCCCTGAATGCAAGGCTGCTCCATGGACCAGGTACTAAATTTCATGACTTATAATCACATTAAAAATTATGTTTAATATGATGAATGTATGTATAGATACATTTTATATGTAAGTTCATGTTATTATGCTAATTTATTTATTTACCTTGGTTACATTTTTTCATGTTATTTTTTATCTTTGTGTTGAACCTATTTTTGATTTATGTAATAGCGGAAATTAAACTTAACTACTTTAATGAAAATATAAATGAATTATGTAATATGTTAAATTACATAATTATGTACCTGTTTATTGGTAGGTCTAATCACCTGGGTAACACGAAAGGAGGCAGAGCAAGCAACTATACTTGGACTCTTCCATTCTTCCCTTCTGGAAATACCAAACAGTGTGTTGTGCGCATTAGGTGGGTTATCGCAAAATAATTTACTAATATTGCTTCTATTATATCTGCATTTATTGAAAGTAAGTTTTGTCTACATGTGTAAAGAAGCCAAGTAAAAATAAAAAACTAGGTTCCTAGATGAAGTAGCGAGGTTATATTACATAGCTACCAGAACAGGCAGCAGATAAAATTATGTACAAAACTGTCATTTATTTATTTTTCAATTTGAAAAATGTTTAAATATTTTGGTTTTTTAAATTTTTATTGTATTTAATTGTATTAATTGCATTTATCACTTTTCATCGCATTAATTGCATTTTATTTTGTCAACGCAGTGGCTGAGCTGTGTCATAATGGCATGACTTTGATACATTAGGTATAACATATCGACGGACGACTACGATCCGTTCAACACGAACTCCAGCCAGAATCACAACAAACAGGCCGGCATCGTGTCGCCCATACAGCAGAACCCCCTGGTGGACATCGGAGCGGGGAACACGCCGCTGCAGCTCGCCATCAACACGGCGCAGTTCGGAAGGACGTTCCAGGACCGCTCGCACGTGTTCGAGTTGCGGCCACGTCCGAGCGGACTGGAGAAGCAGAGGATTTACAATCTGAACGTCCGCGGCAAGCGAGGCAACATAGTGCAGGTGTGATTGTGGTGCATGTGCGTGTGTGCGTGCGCGTGCGTTTGTGGTGCCAAGCGCGTAGCCATGGGAGGGGGGTCCTGGGACCCTAGGACCCCCCAATCAAAATCAAAATGCAAAAAAAAAAAACCGCGTAGCTGTTCTAATCCTGGCCTCGTTAAAAAAATTAACGTTAAAAAATTGGCGTAGTTAGGGGGGCCATGTGGGGGCCATTGCCCCCTTGTTGATCCAAAAGTAAAAAAAAAAAAAGAAAGAATTGTTTCACTAAAAATAGAATTGTCGTAGTCAGAATGAAGGCTGTACATGTGCCTCAAATACCATCTCCTGCGATCTACATTTTCAAAATTTTCTGGGGGAGGCCCCCCATACCCCCACCTGTTTTAACCCCCTCCTTGGTGGAATCTTGGATCGGCCACGGCATCGGTGTCGTTTTAGAGCTGCAGAAGAAATAATATTGTCAACAAAACAGCATCTAAATTGATTTTAAAGCACTATTTTTACATTTAATAAAAAATTTTAGACCACCAAACAGACCACCCTTGTTACTCGCTCGAGGACCCCCCTAATCCAAATTCCTGGATACGCCCTTGTAGTGGTGCGTGTGCGTGTGCGTGTGTGTGTTTGTGGTGCGTGTTCGTGTGTGTGTTTGTGGTGCGTGTGTGTGTTTGTGGTGCGTGTGCGACTGTGTGTGCGTGTGCGTGCGTGCATGTGTGCGTACATGTATGGGTGAGTGCGTGCGTATGTGTCTGTATCTGTGGACGTGTGCGTATGCATGTGTGTGTACATGTGTGGGTGGGTGCGTGCGTACGTGTCTGTGTGATTGAATTTTGCTTGTGTGACTGTGATAGCCACAGTATGTTTAAATTTGTTGGTGCTAACTGTATGCTTCAGGTTTACCCAGCAGTAGAATACGATTTCATTCCGAATGATCTACACGTCACTACAGCCGACCTTGTTCATGTCCAGTGGACAGCTTGAGTAACAGCAATTGTCTAGAGTAACAATAAAATGTCTTAGAACCTTCGTATTCACCGAAAACTGCCAGTTTCGAACTAATCGTTTTTGTAAACATTCGTTTTCTGTCATCTTGAACTAACAGGAAGTATGGATTAGCTTGTGGCGCCACCGCTTATCTGCAATACCCCCAGTACAGGGACGCACTTGTTTTCAATTCATCACCGACACAAATACAAGTTTACCAATTCTGCCATTAGACATTGTCGCGACACGATAAAATGCATTGCTGTTATGATGTGTTCATATCCAATTTTCTATGCTATAACTGCATAAAATCTTCTTTTTTTTAATGTTGGTGTAATCAGTGATATTTTCGCTGTCAGGTGAGACTATATTCAGCTATATTTAGTTTTTCTGAGCAAAAATCTCGCAATACACACTTTAAAAGCGCGTAGCTGGCCTAATCCTGGCCTCGTTAAAAAAATTAACGTTAAAAAATTGGCGTAGTTAGGGGGGGGGCCATGTGGGGGCCATGATCCGAAAGTTAAAAAAAAGAGAATTGTTCCACTAAAAATAGAATTGTCGTAGTCAGAATGAAGGCTGTACATGTACTCAAAAAGTGCCTCAAATACCATCTCCTGCGATCTACATTTTCAAAATTTTCTGGGGGAGGACCTCCATACCCCCCATCTGTTTTAAACCCCCTCCTTGGAATCTTGGATCGGTCACGACATCGGTGTTGTTGTAGAGCTGCAGAAGAAATAGTATTGTCAACAAAACAGCATCTAAATTGATTTTAAAGCACTATTTTTACATTTAACTAAAAAAAAAATTCAGACCACCAAACAGACCACCCTTGTTACTCGCTCGAGGACCCCCCTAATCCAAATTCCTGGCTACGCCCTTGTAGTGGTGCGTGTGCGTGTTTGTGGTGCGTGTGCGTGTGCGGGTGTGTGTGCGGGTGTGCGTGCGGGTGTGTGTGCGTGCATGTGTGGGTGAGTGCGTGCGTACGTGTCTGTATCTGTGCACGTGTACGTATGCATGTGTGTGTACATGTGTGGGTGGGTGCGTGCGTACGTGTCTGTGTGGTTAAATTTTGCTTGTGTGACTGTGATAGCCACAACATGTTTAAATTTGTTGGTGCAAACTGTATGCTTCAGGTTTACCCAGCAGTAGAATACGATTTCATTCCGAATGATCTACACGTCACTACAGCCGACCTTGTTCATGTCCAGTGGACAGGGTCGAATACCCACAACAATGCAGCTCCGGGGGGTGATGGCCAAACAGGGGACGCTGGTGAAGGGAAGTCTGGTATGTTGGGCTCTTTTTTAAAGTTGCATCTACTATCATGTGATAGAGTTGCGCCACATCGGAAAATCTGTCTGCACACGCATTGTTTTTGATAAAGCAATTGTGTGATACCAACTATGATGAATGTAGTACTATGCTCATAGTAAATGAATATATGGTGATGCAAACCGTATTATTCCCTCCCACTCAGGTGCATATTATCTAGAAAGAATCTTTTCCAATATTAATTGTTGTATTTTGCTTTTTAATGTATGTGTCTATCTATAAATCATCAGAGTTACTCTGTTTTATAAACTCTGAATATAAATTATAATCAAGTAAAACAACAACAACAACTGTATTTTCAGGCACAGATAGGAACAACATAGTGCAGCTAAATAAACTCAGCGAGAATTTCCCCGTACCATATGAGAATTCAACGCTGTGGGAGAACGCGAAGATTGCGTGGATCTACCACGGTAAAAAGAACGTCTCGCCGATGGACCTAGCTCTCAACATGGCATCATCAGGACGCTACAGGTACACATGCGGCCGTTTAGAATTACGCTGGAGAATTCCTGTTACTCGATAAACATATGAGTGCAGCCACGTGACACCAAGAGTGGCATGCGACTGCACTGCTACAAAAGAAGTAGTCGGTTTACCAGCAGCAGGTTAAGTTAGTAAGAAAGTGTACAAATGTAGGACGTATTTATTAGTTGATGAAATCCATCCACCTACCATTTCATTGTGATTTCTACACCATGCAAGCAAGGATCTAAACCCAAAGGATTCCGACAGTTTCCGACCTATCAATAACTATTGTGATGTCACACACGTGGTAGAGGTACTTGTGGAGTGTATCGTAGAGCTAATTCATTCCATACCTGTTAAATAATTACATTTAAGTATTTAAATTTTGCCTGTCTAGTGTGTAAATAGTGTGTATATAGGTAGTGCGTAAATAAATATTGGGGAAAAAATACAATGCCGAAAAAAACCGCTAAATAATTATAGTGCAAAAACTGTGAATACTGTCGTCTCGTCTGAACTGATTCTCCTCCCCTCCTGATTCTGTGCACGCTCGCACACACAGGTGCTTCACTGCCAAGGACTGCCCCGGTCAGAAGCACGCCAAGTACATCTTTGGCGTTGGTTTGAAGATGAGCTCGACACTGGATGACGCGCCTGCCAGCTACGAGGGGGCAATGCTGCGATTCAACAAGGGAACCTACTACTACGCATGCTCACGAAACAACAACTTCACCAACCGCAGCCAGAAGGGCACTCTCGTCGTTAAGTAGTTGGAAGTCGTCTGAGGAAATGGAAGTATCGTAGAACGCCTGGATTAGTTTCATTATTGTCTTGTATGCAATTGTAAGCCAGTGTGTTAGTACTGCATAGAAAAGACATTTAGCTCTGTATACGTACAGAAAGTGAAATACCTCTGTTTACTACTTATATGATACACATGGTCATGTATTGCTGTTGCTGTTCACATAGTACTGCATAGAAAAAGCATTTAGTAGGTCTGTATACGTACAGAAAGAGAAATACCCCCATCTGCTACGTATAGGAACAAATGATAAACGCATAGTCGTATATATGAGGCACATTGGACACTGCTCAAACTTGTAAATATATATGAATATGGCATTCTCAGAAGATAGCCCATTGAGAGAACTGTTCAGAACATGCCAAAAGATTCCATTCCGCTAAACTGTAAAGGTAATTCTAATGTGATAAATCAATTTTCAGCTATGCAACTGTGTGATGAAGTTTATATTTATAAACTTGCATAATATTTATTTTTTTAACATATAACAAGCTATTACAAATGTTTTATATTGTTTTAATAATCAGTAAGTAAATCTTCTTTGCAAATTGTGCCCTACTAATTCACTTGACCACAACTATTTTATATGGTTATGTGTTTACGTGAAACAAAATGTTTATTGTTTAGTTTTTTTAAGCACTGTGTAGTTTTAAAAATAAATCAGATAATTATAGTAATAGTTTCAAAAATAGAGGCATTGTGCACTGAAAGGTAGGATTGGTACGGTATTGTCTGATTAACACTTATACTTTCAACTGAAATAACATCATAACTAAAAGTGATTTAATAATATCAAGAGCTAATAATACCTTATTATTAGCTCTTGATAATAATTATGTATTAATGTTGATTAGTGAGCAGCAATGTCATGTGTTGATATTGAATATAAGCTGCAAAATGTGTATTACAAATGGATCAGTCTGTTGCCTGCTCATCGATTATGAAAAAGAAATAGTCAATCTCTGTAAAAACTACTAATTATCGCCACTAGCCATTCAACAAAGCGCCATTTGCCAAAGTGCCAAAGTGCAATTTAGAATGCAAAACAAAATATAGTGTTGTCAGCACTTTATCTTGCTTTGCTTTGAGTGTGAAGAACAGCTGGTACTGGGCCCATTTTTTGGGTGTATTTGCTAAATATTCTTGATGAACGTGATTAACTGATTATTAACTGATTATTATTATCTATTATCGATCAGTTGGGTGTAATTGATTAATAATAACGAAATTCCAACAGATTTTCGTCACTGTGCATCTTCTAAAGGTTACCCATGCAGTGCAATCAACAACAACAAAACAGTTTTAGTTGACTACACGTAAAACTACAGTTTTGGCTATAGCCCAATTCCTTGAAAATTCAAATTTCAGTATATTCAAGTGCGTGGCTACAGCAACAATTACAACATGCAGGAGCCCGCAGGAACATGAGCAACTGCAGTTCGTGTTCTTGTAGTTATAGTATCAGCCATTATATGAGTATTGTTGCTCTGCAGAAGTTCACGTATTTCATTAGTTCAGCTGGAACTGAGTGTAGTTTTCTGTTGAATTCTCAATTGTTAATTGAGAGATGTGATTCACAGCCGTTTGCTATTGCGAACTGTAAATAAAGCTAGATTTCTGCATATTTTTTGGCCATTATATAATTTGTTGTGTCCTGTAGCCTGCAGCTGCCTAACACTATGTATTGCCTTTTGAGCCCCATCTTAGCTCTCATGAGACTCACTCGTGGGTAAATTACCTTCAAAACACTAACATTTCGTAAAAATCCTGAATGTTGATTCACAGTTGGACCAACATTGGTTCATTGTTGGCCGGTGTAGCATGGTTATGGTATACATCCCACCTATGGCAAATGTCCCCTTTCTACATTGCGCGTGCACAATAAAGGGTAATCGTCTAAGCTCGCCACTAAAACATTTTTGGTAAAAGCTGGCGCCATACAGTAAACACCCGCATAAAAGAAACTGTGGATTAAGAACCTCCAAGCTGAAATTGGACCAATAAAGCACCTATATATATAAGAACCACTTCAGCCTGGTAAATAAGCAGGTTCTTATATGAAAAAAATACCGAAAATTAGAGCAAACTGGGGCAATCCAAGTATGTGTGCTACGTACACCATTGGAAACCAACAATATGTAGTTCCAGCCAGTGGCGTACGCAAGGGGGGTGTTTGGGGTGTTAAACACCCCACTTGCCTCTGTCCCAAACTAACATTAAAAAAAAGAAAAAAAGAGGAGAGGAGAAAAGGGAGAGAGAGAGAGAGAGAGAGAGAGAGAGAGAGAGAGAGCAGATGAGAGAGAGAGAGAGCAGAGAGAGAGACGAGACGTGTGTGTGTGTGTGTGAGAGAGGAGGGAGAGAAAGAGCGGAAAAACGCAGAGGGGCAGAGAGAACAGAAGGGCCCCTATGATCCTCGTTTATTAAGCTTATATTTGTAAACACCCCTCCCGAGCTGTAAGAAACAAGGCTTAGCCTATAACGCCAGCCGGTAAGCCGCCGCACCACGGTGTGATGCTTAGCTGCTGCGCCCATCGGACACGCGCGCTGCCTGATGGCGCCAGCACAAGACACACCGTCGTGGCGCGGTGCAAACACAGCGCATTTCTTGGCGTGTAGGAAAATATCACACGTGTTTGGATATTTTCTGCCAGCGTGTTGGCCAGATTCCACACCGCTGTGCCGGAATGTCGCTGTGTATATTGCACACCGGCATGCTATGTAAACCGACAATCAGCAGCAAGCGTCAGCGACAGCTCACCGTGATCTTAACTTGGCGGGTTGCAAGCGCGGTTGCCACTGCGGCTACACGACCGCTTACACGCCAAGAATCACGCACGTACAACGCGGTATACGCACGTACACGACCCACGCGTACACGCACGCTGCAACCGGTCACACGCACGTACACGCGGGTACACGCACGTACACGCAGAGTACACGCACGTACACGCACGTACACGCGGCATACACGTACCGTACACGCACGTACACGCACGTAACACGCGGATACACGCACGTACAACGCCAACGTACCACGCACGTACACGCACGTACACGCACAGACACGAAACGTGAACACGCGGGTACACGCGGGATACACGCACGCTACACGGCACGCTACACGCGGATACACGCACGCTACACGCACGTACACACAGCATTACACGCACGTACACGCGGCTGTGCACGGCGATACACGCACGATAGCAGCGCACGCTAACACGCGGCCGTACACGCGTCATAGCACGCCACGTACACGCGGCGTACACGCCGGATACACGCACGTACACGCGGCGTAACACGCACGTACACGCAGCATACACGCACGCTCACACAGATACACGCGGCCGTACACGCACGTGCACGCGCGTTACACGCACCATACACGCGGGTACCACGGAGATACCACGCACGTACCACGCGGGGTACACGCACGTACAACGCAGATACACGCACGTACACACAGATACACGGCACGTACACGCGGGGTACACGCGGAGCATACACGCACGTACACGGCACGCACATGCGGTACACTCACGTACACGAAGCCATCCACCACGTACACCGCGTGTACACGCGGATAAACGCCACGTACACGCGGGTACCACGCACGTACACGCACTACACGCACTACACACAGAGTACACGCACTGACACGCGGGTACACGGCACGTGTACCGCGTGTACGTGCGTGTAGCTCCGGGTACCGCGGTGTACGTGTGCGTGTACCCGCCGTGCCACGTCGTGTGTACCCGCGTGTACATTGCGTGATCTGTCGCTGTACGTGCGTATAACCGCTGTACGTGCGTGTATCCGCGTGTACCCGCGTGTTTACGTGCGTGTATTACGCGTCTGTACCGACGTGTACGTGCGCTGTACGTGCGTGTATCCGCGTGCCACCCGCTGTGTACGTGAGTAGTATCTGCTGTGTACGTGCCGTGTACGTGCGTGTATCCGCGTGTACGCTGCGTTGTTTTACGGCGTGTATCGGCGGTACCGCGTGTACCGCTTCGCTGTACCAAGATAGACGTGTACCGCTGCGTGTACGTCGCGTGCTACGTGCGTGCTATCCGCGTGTACGTGCGTGTACGCTGCGTGTACGTACGCTGTATCCGTGTAACCCGCGTGTACGTGCGTGATACGTGCGTGTACCTGCGTGTACGTGCGGCCCGTCCCGCGGTGTACGTGCGGTGTACCCGCGTGCACCGTGCGTGTACCCGCGTGTACGTGCGTATACCGCGTGTACGTAGCCGGGGCATCTGCGTCGTACGTGCGCTGTACCCGCAAGTGCAAACCGACCGCTGCAACCGCAAGTTAAGATCAGCGTGACTCGCTTGACCTGCCTGCCTATGGTCGAGCTTACATAGATGCCGGTGTACAATATGACACAGCGACTCCGCACCACCGTGGGAATCTGCCACAGCGTGGGCAGAAAATATTCAAACACGTGTGATATTTCCACACCAAGGAAATCGCATGTGTTTGCACGCGCCACACGTGTGTCTGTGCTTGCGCCATCAGGCACGCGTGTCCGATGCGCCGCAGCCCACAAGACACACCGTGTGGCGGGCAGCTTAAGGAGTGTGTACAATGAAATGAGCATAAGAGACCCAAAATCGATCTGCTGCCCGGGCATGCTCGACGAATCGCCGATGGCGTAAATAAATGGTAGATTTGGGCAGAATTGATTGCACGAACACATATTATGTTCATAGACTTGAGTT